ATTATTTTTTGTGAAATTACTCCACTAGTTTGTTATAATTATTAATACAAAGATTTTATACGTTTCAACATTACAGGAAGAAACGCTTAAAGAGAAAGAATTCCAAAAAGTAATGGGTCCACGGCCCCCGTCGATAGTCCAGACGGAACTGTCGCGCGAGTTCCACAAGTACCAGGAGGCGCATACAAGAACCAACGAGAGCAACCAGGTGTTACACAAAGCGATGACGTTACATATCGCCAACTTAAGGCTGCTGGCCCAGCCATTGGAAGTCCTGCAGAGCAAGATACCTAGCATTGACAATATTGGTAAGTAGTTCTGGCTAGTTTACACCAATTAACTACATCGCAACTACACTACCATCATTCTGCCATACGACACCTACTGCTGGGCATAGACCTCCCCCAACGATCTCTACGATGATCGGTTCTGCGCTGCCCGCATCCATCGGCTTCCTGCGATCTCCACCAGATCGTCGGTCCACCTGGTGGGGGGCCTACCCACTAAGCGTCGTCCGGTGCGCGGTCGCCATTAGAAAACCTTTCCGCCCCAACAGCCATCGGTTCTCCTAGCTATGTGCCCCGCCCACTGCCACTTCAGCTGAGCAATTCTTCGAGCTATGTCGGTTACCTTAGTTCTCCTACGGATTTCCTCATTTCTGATTCTATCACGTAGGGAAATACCGAGCATCACTCTCTCCGTTGCCCGCTGAGTGACCTTGAGCCTTCTTATGAGGCCCATAGTGAGGGACCACGTTTCTGATCCATATGTGATCACTGGCAACACACACTGGTCAAAGACTTTCGTCTTGAGACATTGAGGTAATTTGGACGCAAAGATTTTTTGGAGTTTCCCGAACGCTGCCCATCCGAGCTGGATTCGACGAGAGATCTCTTTCTCGAAGTTGGACTTACCTAACTGGACTGTCTGCCCTAGGTATACGTAATGGTCAACAACTTCGAGTGTAATGCTCCCAATTTTAACTGGAGCGGGTACAACATGGATATTCGACATGATCTTCGTCTTGTCCATGTCCATCTTAAGACCCACTCTTTGGGAAACACTACTGAGATCTTCGAGCATTGTGTTCAGGTCTCCCAAGGTCTACTAACTATATCATTGGCAAATCGAAGGTCTGTTAGGTACTATTAGGTTCTAAAATGTAATTGTCTAGCATTATGAAGATTGTACAATAATGTAGGTTTCTTTTTTGTTTGATTACTCCTTTCACCATCATTGTGAACCTCATGGTCATTTGTGAACCGATTTCGGTGATTCTTTATTTTTATTGATTCATTTTTCCATTCATTTAAATTTCATCTTTGATTCATTTAAATTTGAAGAAAATATTTCACCTCTAAGGGTGGCAAACTATGAGAGGCATGAATGCGGTTTCGCGCACTTTCCGGTTACCAATTTCAATAAAACTTGCCAAATATATGTGTGAATGGAACACAGCGAGAGTGAAAAAGAGGGAACTGACCGTGTGACGTATGTGTGAGCGAGAGAGAAAGGATGAAGAGGGACAGGTGAACGATAAAAGACAGAAAAGGTGTAAAGTACAGTAAAGACGTGTGCTAAGTTTTGAAGTAGGAAAATTGGAATATAAAAGTTGTTTCTCTTGGAAACTGAGTTTTAATGCACTGTTTGTCCCCACATTTTTGGGGGCTCGCCGGGATTAGCGGTGTCAGTAAAATCGAAAGTTATCAGTGCAAAGTACGAAGAATGAGAAAGATTGTAATTGATTCCACATATTATTAAGGACAATTTTTTTAATACAAAATTTAATATAATGTTATCATTTTTTATTTTTGTCATTCTTTTACTTAAAACTAACTTAAATGAAAATAGTAACGACTGAGAGCCAATTATAGATCCTCACAAATAGAAATATAATAAAAAAACACTTGGATACACTATTTAAGGTATAAAACAAAACATAACTTATTTATAAAATATAAAAAAGGCAATTGCAGTTGTAACTCACTTTAAGTTAAAGAATTGCCCACTCAATGCTCTCCTTGCCGAAATCGCACTCGTATTAAAAAGATCCAGATCGAATGAATTACACACAATGTTAAAATTGTTACTTGCACGCCACATAAACTCATTTTGCCTATAATTAGTACGAGCGGGTGGTAGAAACAAAAGTGAATTGTTTCTTAAAGATTTAGATGGAACTCTCAATGATATTTCTGATTATAAGTCTGGACAGTCAATTGAGCCCGATGCTATTTTTATTAAAAACATTAGGGCACTAATGTCACGACGCATTTGAAGTGGTAAAAGATGATGCTTTTTACAGAGACTGTAATAATTTGCCGAATTGTAGCAGTCCAGTGTACGGTAGCATAGAAAACGAATAAACTTTTTTTGTAAATTTTCAAGCCGCGAGATATAAATGTGATAACGTGGATTCCAAATTTGGCTGGCATACTCTAAAATACTGCGGACAATAGAGCAGTACAGTGTTTTTATTGTCTTCACCTGTGTAAAATCTTTGGCACAGCGCACAATAAATCCTAGGGCCCTAGATGCCTTAGTCACTATACTGTCAATATACGAGCGAGTCAAATAACAATTTACAATCATGTAGAACTCCCAGATCTCGTACTGTAGATTGCTCTTTTAGTAATACACCTTTGAGAGAATAATTAAATAAATAAATCTATTTTTAGTATCTAATTACGTGACGAAGTAATTAAAGGAGTTTTAATTTATACGTGTAAACAATCAATTCCTTTCGCATAAACCCATTAAAGGGTTTTTGAAAGGAAAATCTAAATGTACATGTGTTTAATTGTAAATTGAATAATAAATTAAAAAAAAAAAAAAATCACTTAACAGCTGTTAAGTAATTTAGTGGATAAGTAGATTAGAGTCAAACCTATTTTTTGACAAAGTGGCCGACTTTCCCGCACCCTGCGCTTTTACCGGTAGGCGTGGCTTAGAGTTGGAAGCATTCGGTGTGGAAATGTGAAAGTACTTAAAGCTTCACTAAAACACATGTAAACGTTAGACTGCTGCTGGTGAAATTACATGCCTATGGGATTTGTCAACTTGTGTCTCAGGGTGACGGGCGTAGGGACATTGTCCCTCAGGTCTTTACGATTTAAAGCTCTGAGTGGCACTGCAACTACTACTATACACGAACAAATGTTCGTCCAGTGACTTGGTATTATAAAAAAAGATTACGTAAAATGAAGTTAAAACTTAGATAAATACTTTATAATTTAAGAGTTTATACTACCTCAAATGGCTATGGTTGTATGTTGATAGTAAAATTGGGGATATACAATGTATAATATACAGTGGGAAAACACGATTCCCAAAAACTTTTACCATAGAAGAAAAACCAAATTACTTCGAAATTTTACAAGAACACCGCTGTATTCAATAGGTACTTTCCAAGTGCCAATGGTTTTTTGCTTTAATGCTACAAACACCGCTCGAGCGCGAAAGACTGGCTTCGGGCTGCGCAGTGACGGGCCGTTCCTTGGCAGAGGGCCTGGACCGCGGCACCATGCAGGAGATGCGCCGCGTGGTGGGCAAGGCGCGGGAGATGCAGGCGCAGCGCGACGCGCTGGTGCAGCAGCTGCGCGACGCGCTCGGCGCCGACGACGTCACCGCGCAGCTGCTCGCGCGCAGCAACGAGCCCGCCGACGAGATCTTCCAGCAGGAGCTCGAGAAGCACACTCCTAAGGTATGGGTCTTTTTGACCGACTTCAAATAGGATGAGCTTTCCCTTTTTTTTGTTGGAAACAGCACCTCGATAGTGGTCCCATTTAAATTTGAACTAAATATTCCACCTCTAAGGGTGACAAATTAGGGAATGAATCCGGTTCCGGCAAAGAAATGTAATTCCACTAACTTTTAAGGTCTGTTTTTTAGTACTCTGTACTGAGATTATTTGAAACATTTTTCGGTTTCCCCTTTCCAACTTTTCCCTTTGGGGCTGACGGTAAAGGAAATTAAATTTATCAATAGATATTTTATGTTATATCATTTGCAATAAGATATAAATTTCTATGCTCTGAGGCCGACTTCTCAGTATCACAGCGTATTTCTATCTGCGGTATTGAAGAACACGATATAGAATACCGTGGCGGAAGGCGCCGGTATCCGACAGGATACACCGGTATTCGACGGGATACACTTTGGTTCGCGGCAAACGGGAGGAGATGGACTTTGCGGTACCGTAAGGATTGTTCCCCATCAGTGTGTCCTGGCGGGCATAAAATCCTCTTCGACGGTCTTCCCCGTCGTCCGCCAGTCCTTCAACACTCTTTGTATAGACTTGAATGAAAGGGAGATTCGACAAATTCTTATTTCTTAAACAGGTGAAGATCATAGAGCAGAACTTGGCGGCACAGGAGAACATAATCAACAAGCTGACGTCGTTGTACGCGGCCTACGGCGAGTCCAGGCGGCTGCTCTCCGACGTTTTGAGGAAGAGAGAAGGCCTCATCAATGGTGAATATTTTGTTCTGTTCTCATTACCGACCACTTCCAATGCTTCCAAGGCATGGTCCACAAGTTAGTTACAGAACTAAAATGCCTGGGTCTTCTGGGTATCGCCAAGTTCAAAAGGAAATAACAATTGCTAATCAACAGTTCTGAATGACATCAATATTTTTCAGCCTTGATCACTTCGTTCGATACTTACGAGGAGCTGTTGGGCAAGTGCCAGAAGGGCCTGGAGTTTTACAAGAAGCTGGGCTCCAACGTGGGCCAGCTGCTGACGCGCCTGCGCAGCATCTGTCAGGTGCAGCAGGAGGAGAGGGCGCAGCTGCTCGCCAACCAGACTGCTAAAGGTAAACCCAGTATTCAAGACCGAAGCGAGCTATGTCACAATAAATATAATGCTGAAGGTTATAATTGAACTTGTTACGAATGGCTGAGGCACGCCAGCCCGTCAGGGCAAGCGAAACTGAATCTTGCAAGGTAATACAGGCGCTCCGATTGGTCGGGAGCATGAAATTAGGTCGGTACGGTGAGGGAGATGCCGTACCTATACAATAATAGTAAACTTATCTTAAAAAAGACTCCAATAAGTTTTTGAGAAAGTTCCAATAAGAGAGCTTCAGTTTTACAATAAGTTTCATAGTCTTAAGTTAAGTTTCAAGTAAATCTGGAATGGTGTATTCAGTCCATTTATGAAAATCAATTAAACAAGAGTAAATAGTGAAAAAGTTTTATTGAAGGAACCAACATAGCCCATAAATGGAACTCTATGTATGACAGTAGTAAACCAATAGTCAATACTTAAATCTCAATTCACGAGTCAAATTATAGGAGTCATTTACAATATAACAACGCAGAACTGTAATATTTAGATTCTCGGAATGATCGAAAGTATTTTTTACAGGTGCAACCCCACCGCCTGCAGCAGCAACCGCAACGGCTGCCGCAGCTGTGGCTGCGGCAGGCGCCGCGGCAGCAAAGCTGTCTGACGTGACACCTACGCCTGCCGGCTCCAGTGGCACTCTGAAACTGAAGGATTATCTTCCTTATATGAAGAACAGAGCAGCTGCGAGAAGCGTTACTCCTCAAGGTATCTTCTTGCTTAATTTTCTATCGAAGTAGTTTTTGCTTACATGCAACCACTACACCACTACTATTTTTCAAGGACATCCCCAATCTGATTAAGATGTTCATGTTCGTCGAGGCCTACCTCTCTTCACGTGTCGAAGTAGCATTTGCGGGTTACATTTAAGCTAAACATGCCAACCGATGATATATCTGTACTCAGACCTAGAATTCAAGAGATTTTTTTGTAAACCTTTGTTTGTCATGATATTATTATGTCACTGTCAAAGTGATAGGTCAGGGATACAAAACAAGTTTTCACCAAGGGTCAATATATGTAATAGTAAAATGGCGCGTGGTTTATTAATTTAAGTGTTGATTTCTATGACCAAACTTTGACACTCCAGTCAGTTTGTAATAGTACAAACACAACAACAAGGTTGAAAACTTAACAAAAAATGATAACAGTAACAGACAACAAAATAACACATAAAAAACAAAAATTTCAACATCGCACCATTGCACACGCGCAGCGAAAAGGGAGCACATTCCAATTAGGAAACGGATGAGAGACGAATAAAAGTAAAGATAATAGCGAAAAGCTGTCAAAACAAAAAATTGATTCGAACTTCTATTTGCTCGATGATGCCAGTGTCGTAAAATATTTTCTACCAATATTTCTTCATCTTTTCATAACTTAATAATTGATTAAAAATTAATCAATGATTTTTAATCTGATTCAATAATTGTAAAATCAACGAAGAGCCGTTCATGGATTTTGCTAGTATAATTTTACGTTGTAGTTTATGCCTAGTTATCAATATATTTTTGTATATTTTTAGAAGTCGGGAATAAAAAAAATTGTAAACAATGTATTTTAGAGTAAATTCAAGAACATAATGCAATTGACGTAAAGTTCTTGTACGTACGTTTCATTTTTAAGCATGATTGAATGTTTACGTACCTAAAGTAATGGTTATTTTATAGTACACACATAAAACATTAAAGCTTTGTAGTACCTAATCAAATTCAAATTCAAATTCAAAATAATCTTTATTTCATAGGTAAGCATTATTTATTACACTTGAAATCGTCACAATGGTTAAACTCTACCGCTCATTCGTAAGGCAGATTCCCCTGAGAAGAATGAGCAAGAAACTCTAGGGGTTGCTCTTTGTAAATAACATTTACAATATTTTTTTTTTAATTGAAACATCAGAGATCGAAACTACCTCCATGAGCTAAACGGGTTACTACCACGGATTTTTGTCATCCAAGTACGCACAAGTTGTATAATAACCTTTAGTATAAAGTTTTTGTTGTCACTATAGTTTTAAACCTCGTGAAAGGCAAATTTTGTATATCAACCGGAATCTTGTTATAGAAGCGTATACATTGCCCCTTAAATGATTTTTTGACTTTGTGAAGACGACTATCAAGAAAAGCTAGTTTATTTCTATTCCTCGTATTAATGTTATGTCTGTCACTATTTTTCATAAAGAAATTACTATTCCTTTTAACATAAATTACATTTTCATAAATGTACTGTGAGGCTAGTTTAAGAATGTTAATTTCCTTAAACTTATCTCTCAAAGATACTTTGGGGCCCATATTGTAAATTGCCCTAACTGCACGTTTCTGCAGGACAAAGATTCGATTGATATCGGCGGCATTACCCCAAAGTCCAATCAAATAATCAATTAAACAGTATTGACATACAAGTAAAAAGTAATTGAAAAATTGAAATGAGAGATAAGAAAGTTAGCAAAGAAACGTATTGACAAGAGGTCTCTTGCCAATGTCAATGTGACGTTGAGGTTGAGAACAGTGTGACCATTTGTGGCAGATTTCTGCCATTGGGTAGATTTAATTTTTATTCATTTTCATTGCGGCAGAACAAGTTAACGTTGTATTAAACGTGGCAGTTTGCAAGTTTTTCATTATTTTTGGGAAAAAAACTGAAAACTGCTAGTACGAACAAACATCTGAATCGAAATACACGACAAGGTAATAAACAGAACCTATATCAACTTTATAACCCCAGCTTCTACAGACTGTACTCAATTAGTTTTTTTGATGCTTTGATAATGAATCGCAAGTATCGATAGGTATCTTTAATGCACGTCGTCAAAAACACTGGGTCACAAGCAACTTGAATTCTAGGTCAGAGTAGGTATTAATAAACCCATCTCTTGTACAGATATTAAGATTTTTAGTTCGATGTAGCGCCTCAAAGAGCGCCACCTTTTCATCGTAACTTAAATAAAATCAAACTCGGACCACGAGGCGAGTGGCGCGAGGGAAAATCAAGGGTCATCATTCGACGACGTATCTTGCTACAATACGCATTGTTATTTATTGTTTTTTAATACATTTTAAAATAAATACATTTCAGTCAAAAGTAATCAAAATAATTCATTGAAGATTCCAAACCCATTCAAAGTAAAGGAAGGCCGGATTGCCGGATGCCTACGGACAAGCATCAACAGTAGTAAAATTAGCAAAAAACAATATTAATCCTCTTTAGGGCTCTGCTGGCTCTTTTAAATTTTTGTCTCAATAATATAAATAAATTAATATTTTTTAAGTGAAGTTGAATTGACTCGTGTAATTCGGCGATTAATTGGTTACAACACAATTAAAATAAAAATTGATTGAGGACGTAACTTGTTAACACGTTGTGACTTACTCAAAACTGCATTTTATTTTGAAATTCATGCCAAAAAAAAAAACTTGAAATATACACTTCCGGACCACTAATTCCATAATTCCATAATTCGAACCACTACGCATTTTCAGTATTGAATACCCTAAGCTTAAACAATATTTGATTGATCAAAAACTATTATACAATTTTGAAACTAGTATACTAAACGTCTTTTCCATAAGTCCTTGTTGTGAATTTGGATTTGCAAAACCGGGGGACAACTTTTTCTTCGATGATAACACTTTTTTTGTATTCTAACCCTTTAAGACAAAAATGCGAGGTGGCACGAATTATGTGGCCGGAAGTATATATTTTATCATATATAACGCTTCACTAAAATTAATGTATATTTTTAAAACACAACAAGCTAATAATTGTTTGTGTAAACAAACAAGTTTCGTTGATCGCAAGTTACATACTGTCTGTCAAATAGGATTTCTTCCATCGTGATGACTGTAACCTCTTTAAGAGTGAGATATGTAGTTTAACTTATTTTTTGTACATTTTTACGCTATGAAAATAACAGAAAGTACATGTTTTCAACAAAGAATTTAGAATTTTGGTGAGGTCCAATATAGAAACGACGTAGTAGTTTTACAATTTTAGATATGTATGTACTAGGGTCCATGGGGTTCTAACCTAGAATATATTTCCAGCGCAAGTGGATTTGCCCTCGGATACTTACTACCCCGAAATGATGTACCCGTCTTCAGTGAGACCTACACCCGTCGGTTCTGAAGGTGCGTTAGACTTTTTCTTACTTCTAAACAATATCTTAGTCCTTTTCCTGTTAACCGGATTTTGTTCCGCATGCGTGGATACCACAACGACGGCAAAGACATCACATGCCATGATATGCTATCCTCTTTATCTGTCTATGTATAGGGTTACCATTCCGAAATTTAAATATTCCGGACAGAAAGAGTGATATTTGCAAGAAAGTACGGACTTTTTAGTAACAAAATAAAATCGAAAATCTCTCTCGCGGTAGCAGTGATCAACAAGCGCCCAAGCAACAAAAATATTATTGTAAATCGAGTTTTACTACAGAATTGCAAGGTGGATATTAATTTTTTAACCGACGTTAAAAAAAGGAGGAGGTTCTCAATTCGACTGTATTTTTTTGTGTGTATGTTACGCGATAACTCCATTTTGATCATTCTTTTTTTGTTGGAAAGAGGATACCTCAGTATTGGTCCCATTTATATTTGAAGATCTTTAAGGGTGACAAACTAGGGGATGAATCCGGTTTCGCGCACTTTTTCGGTAACCGATTTCAATAAAACTTTGCAAATAGATACATTCCACGAACTTTTGAGGTCGGTTTTTTGTTATAAAAAAGATATTATTCTGAAAGTTCAAGCGTAAAAATCCGGACAGAAGGCTAGAAAGCCGGGCATGTCCTAACAAATCCGGACGGATGGTAACCCTATCTGTGTATGACTTATAATTTTGACAAAAAATATTTCATAACAAGTTTTGGTTCAGAATTTCATGTTCTTTCTTTGTAAATTAGACACACGCTTGGCCGTAATCTCACCGAGATGATGTCTAAAAAAATCTGTATTCACTCTAGGCTTAACATAGATATCGTGTACTCCATTCATTTGCCGTATGCATTAAAGAAAGACAAAGCAAAACGCCTTGCGCGAATGGATCGTATCAATAACATAAGTAGTGTTCCGGACCTTCTAGTCGACCGAAAGAAGTGGAAATAAATTGTAAACTTCCTATGCACCCTAACCAAAATATATCCGATAAAAAAAAACTCAAGTTTTGATGTAAATAATTTATTTTCGTGCAGAATTGTAAGTCAAATACCATTAGTATTGTAAAAGACGATACGTGACTGACAGATAGTGTTTTGTGTTATCTATTTGATGCGATCAGTGCTAAAGCAGCGAAATGACCGTGACAGGAAAAAGGGCTTCAGCAGCTTTAAAGTAATAATAATAAATGTTTTTAGCCACAGACATGTCTCAAATGCAGCTTCCTGATGGAGTAGCGATGCCATCAATACAAGCCACCTACAACAGATACGGGTCTTCATACACGCCGCAAGATCTTAGCGCGTACCCGGCCCAGCCTAACTACGCTTATGCCACTACGAGCAAGGGGTACGAAAAACCGGAAGACAATTATGGTCACGCCACGCCATATACACCACCGCAGTACTCCACGCAAGTTGCGGATCCTCAATATTCCAACCCGTACTACACTGGTAGCCACCAAAGCAATTTGACTACAGTGACTGACTCGCAAAACTTGCCCTCGGGGTCAGCCATGAATTACAATATATACAATCCAAATGCATACGATCCATACATTTCTCACGGGCATCATATCGCGCCCATACCTGAAGCTGTATCGTCGCTGTCCTCTTATGCAGCCGGGGCGCAAATACCCGGCCAATCAGAATTGAACGTCAACTTCGGACACATGCAAATAGCTGCATCGAAACCGGAGCCTGCTGCAGTTTATACCGGGGACTATAATCAGACTTACTTCAACGCTCAACATCCTCAAACATCGACACCGAATATGGCAACTTACAGTAACGCGCCTCAGAGTTCCAACACTGTGGTGTCTTCGCAGTTGCCTTCGGACTATAGCACTTTAAACTATCCTTACTCGACTGATCCCGCAAATTCAAATCAGTACGGTCAAGGAATTAATACGAACGTCACTGTCGGTTATGGCTCGACGAATCAGCCTGCAATGTCCGTGCCCAGTTCCTACAACTCTGGACAAGCGACAAATCCAGTACCCAGTATCCAAGCGCCTTATACCCTGCCTGACCAGCCGACTAGCTATCCCGGAACGACATATGACGGCGTGGCAAACACATATGGGCATACAATTTACACGAACACTGAAAGCGTTGATACGTCAACCACTAGCGTTGTAATTCCCCATGTAAGCCACGGACAAGAATACGCTATGTACCAACCGGACCGGATTCCAAGTCCTCTGTCCCATATAGATTCTGTGGATCAGCCTATAAAATCACACGTGACAGGCGAAGCGTTGTCGGCGAACTTAAATTTTCAATCGACATATCCTTACAACCAGCCGGCCATGAGTATTTCTAACGCAGCTGATCAAAGTTCTGTGCCGACCTATTCTTCTGGTCAGACTTATCCGATGTCGCAACAGCCTCAAAATTTTGAGGCTGATAATACGCAGAACTTCCAAACTACGTACGCATTTATCGACCAGACAGCAAATATGATTTATTCGCAGACGTTCCAAAACCACCCGGGTTATGGTTACAATCCTACAAGTGGGGGTTACGAGTACCATTACGGGTCACAGAACACGCATAACACATTTCCTGCCTCGAACTACAGTGACACCAACCAAGCTAGCGTGGACAACCAGAAAATAAGTCAATGTAATCAAAATTGGTCAGCTCAAGGAATGTACACTAACGCCGGAAGCTGCAACACCTTGCAGTCTCCTTCAGAGTCCGTGCCAGCAGCACCAGTACCTGAACAAGAAAGTAATAATCTACCAACAAATCAAATGTACTACAACAGCCCATATGGGTATGTGACCAATACAAACCAGTCGACTGAAGTAGTTCCAAATAATGTACAAACTACAACGAACTACGGCGCTAATGTAAACCAGTCAACGTACATGCAATCGGGGCAGCAGAACACTAATGTAACGTATAGCAATAATCAAGGTAAGGCTTCTTAGTTTCATCGTCTTCTTGCAATACAATGCAAGCATTTTCTGTTATTGTAATATTTCATCTAATCTCCAACTAACCTTATTAATATGGAACCTCTCTTTCGTACTTATGTAACTCTACCACGAACAAATATAACATGTGAGTTTCTCAAATAAAACATGTATACAAATAAAACAGATTTTCATTTACATATCTATTAAACATAAATTCGTTTTCAGTGTCTTCATCGAAAGATAATGTACCGGAATCGCTTAACGCTGAACAAAACACGTACACGATAAATAATTCTGGTGATGGAATTACTCAAAATCCACCAGTGGTTTCCGAACCAGAAGTTCCACAGAAAAATGAGGTAGTAGAAGAATCGTTGCCTGAACTCAGACCAGAACCATCAGCCTTCGATCTTTTGTCTGACATCGACTTTACAGTAGAACAAAAACCGCTAATGCCTGAAATAAAAGTTCCTCCAATATCCGAAAGTGTTATAAAGAAAGTTCCAATAATTCCTAAAGATGAGCCAGTATTGAAACCAGCGCCTAAAGAAGAAGTCATAGAACGACCAGCAAAGAAAGACCTCTTTTCTGATCCTGGTTTATTGAACAAGTTTACTGAAACTGTGAAGAATTTGCAAAAGCTTGTGGATTCCCTTTCGAACAAATCTGTAGGTGGTTTGACAGTTTTGGATTCTAAATGGAAGTCGTTTCAAGATTGGCAGGTAAGTAATTTGACTCTTTGACACATGGTGTTTATTTTTAAAACTATTTGAGGAAAGTTTTACAAATAAACACTACCGTAGAAATGAGTGATCACCCTAATTTGTCAAGTGCATTAGCGACGGTAGCCTGGTAGAAAACCGGTTACTTCACAATGGAGGTCCAAATCCGTCTGGCTAATTCTAAAGTAATATTTCTCGGGAGCAGTGTAGGAAAATATTGTGATAAGACCTGCCCGTAGAGGAAGACTCACAACCTTGGAAAAAATGAAGTTTTCCAAACAAATTCATCTCATAAGGGCCAGCGTTGGGGGCTATGACCTAATCTGTTCCTTAGAGGAGACGTGCACAGAAGTGGGACGTATGATAAGTTGACGATGATGATGTCAAGTGAACCTGAAGGTTTCCTATCCTGCATCCAGATAAGTAGCTAAGCGTAAAAAAAATATCTAATATCTACGAGAAACTTGTGTTGCCGATAAAAGTGAATTTAATATCTGAAGTCTTATGAAGACGAAGAAGAAGAGTAAATGTTGAAGTACATGAAAAACATTTGTTAAACAATTTCAGGCAAAAGAAAATATGACCAGACCCAAGTCGATTGCAACAAAACACGCGGCAGGCAATATTGTGACAGCGGTAGTGCCTTTCGACGATTCCAGACTGACACTTAAATCTGACCCCGATGCTTACATCAATGCTTCTTATTACAAGGTGTGTAAATTTATTTGCGCTTCATTACTGAAGATTTCCTTTAAATCCTTTTTCATGGCAATATCTGTTTAGAAGAGTGTTCAACTTGCGTATTTCACCTTTAACTGGTCATTAGCTTTATATTTTTTAAACAACTGGTTTACGATAACAACCAACATACAGGAGTTGTAATATATCAAACAACATCAGCAATTTTATTTAAATTCCCAGTATTATGAATATCAGAACAACGACATTCACTCTAAGTCACTTCTCAGACCACCTAGATCAGAACCAAATAAGAATATCAGATATATAGAATGTTCGCTTTAAAAATAAAATACACTAAAAATCGATCGACTTTACCTCATCCTAATAACAAACATCAAATAACTCTTCTTTCGTTTCAGCAACTAGCCTCATGGTGCATTCCACTAGTGATATCTAAGAATCCGATTGAGAAAGAATACAGTGTTTTCTGGAGAGCAGTATTAGAGAACAAAATGGCTTGTATCCTTTGCTTGCTCAGTGAAATCGAAGTAAGTATTGACAATACGTTAAAAATTTTAAGATTTGAAACCTCATTTTTATATTAAAGTCCTAATAACGCGTTCTTAGGTTTTCGCGATTGTTACACATAGGAAATGAAACTATTTTTCCGGATTTAAATCGCGTATATTTGTTTTTTCACAGGTCCCATGGTCACGGTTGACATGGTCAGTCACCGTGACCATGGGACCTGTAAAGGGCCCGAAACGTCGATTTGTTTGAAAAAACAAATATACGCGATTTAAATCCGGAAAAATAGT